GGAGGGGTTGGGGGAGCATGGAGAGTGGGGAGAGCATGGAGCTCCAGGCTAGCACCCCTGACCCTGCCTATCTCAAGCGGAAGAGGAAGCGCCACCCTAGAGACAGCAGAGAGCTGGGGAGAGTGGGGGCTGCAGGCACGGCCGAGGGAGCGGGTGGGGGGTGGGAAGCAGAAGCCCCCGGGGGTCAGGGCAGGAGGCCTGAGGGAGGACAGCAGGGGGAAGCAGCCAGGGCTCAGCCCACCCGTGCGGGAGGCGCTGGGTGCAGGTGTCAGCAGGAGGCTGGGGCTAGCCCCACCCTCCACCCTGACTTGGGGGGCTTGCTTGGGGAGGGCGGCCTCTTGGGCAGTCCTGCTGCCCCTTCCCCGGGGGACCTGACATCCTGGCACGAACCGAGCCCAGAGGAGGCCAGAGATGGCTGGCTGGGGCTTCCCTCAGACCCCGGCCACCCCCTGGCCACTGGAGTCGGTCATGAGGAACTATTCGCGCGTACACGGCAGGCCCCGGACAGCCGGAGTGGCTCCGCGCCCCTGGACCGCGCTCGCGCGCGGACGGCCCTGGGCGCGCGCACCCACCCCTGCGCACGTTCACGCCGGGCACGCGCCCATGCCTGTGCCCTCGCGCGCCCGCGGCCTCCGCCCCGCGCCCGTGCGCCCAGGTGCGAGCTCTGGGGGAGGAGGGACGCACCGTGAGGCGCCGCGTGGCGTCCACCTCGATCATGCCGCGCAGCAGGCTCTGGCAGTCGGGCGGGATGAAGTGCGGCATGTGGAACACGCCCCGCTTCACCTTCTCCAGCAGCTGCCGCAGGTTGTCGTCGTCGAAGGGCAGCGCCCCCTGCCGGCGGGACCGGGTCACCGCGGGGGCGGACCGAAGGCGGGGGCGGGATGGGGGCGGGGCGAGGGCGGGGTCACCGCGGGGGCGGACCGACGGCGGGGGCGGGGCGGGGCGAGCCTCACCACGAGCAGGGCGAACAGAATCACGCCGCAGCTCCACACGTCCGCCTTGCGGCCATCGTATTTCTCTCCCTGCGGACAGCACTGGGGTCGGTGCGGGCGCAGGGCCGGGGTCCTTCCGGGGATCGAGGGGCCCAAGGGGAGCGCCTGGGAGGAGCAGGCCCCGTGGGCGGCGCCAAGGACAGGCGGCCAGGCCCCGGCCTGGGGGTCCACGATCTCCGGGGCAGGGAGGCCCCCTAGGCGGGACAGGGACCAGGGTGGGGGCGCGTGGTGGGTTGGCTGCTTACCCGGATCACCTCCGGGCAGGCATAGTGGGGGGACCTGAAGAGGCAAAGGCAGCAGTCAGGGCAGGAGACTCGGGACCCGCCGCGCACCCAGCCGTCCCGACCCCTGGGCTTCTGGACTGGCCCCCAGGACCGCAGCAGGTGGAGACGGAGGGAGGGGCCCTCCCCGCTCCCCACCCCCCCCGCCCCCACTGCAAACTCTGCCTGGGACGGATGTCCCACTGTGGGACCCTCAGGCCCACCAGGAGGCCCCAGGGCTTTGGTGCCGATTCCCTCACAACCTAATCCCCCCTGCCTGCTTCTGGGGGAGGCCCAGGCCTGGGACCCAGGGGCCCACTCTGCTCCAGGCTGTCTGCCCACCTGCCCTGCCCAAGGAGATGGTCACCAGAGGCTGGACCGTGAGGCAACCCCATGAGAGTGCTGGGAGCCAGGAAGCTGGCACGCCAGCCTCACTCCCAAGCAGGGCAGGGAGCTCCCAGGGCAAGACCGGCCTTTCCGAGCCTGGCCACAGAGCCGAGGGATGTAATGGGCCAGGCGGGTCGCCTGCAGCCCCTCACTGCACCGGGGAGACGGTGCCAGTAGCAGAGCCGGGGCCCTGCCTCCAGCCCAGGCTGTGGGGTTGCTGGGGGGCCCTGGGGCTGCGGGGCCACCTGGCTGGGCAGCCGCGGGGCCAGGCTGTGGGCGGGGCAGCAGCCCCTGGCCAGTGTCCCTGGCCTATGGAGAACCGGCAGCCGGTCGAGGGCTCAGCTCACCCGCAGCTCGTCTCCAGCAGGCTGTCGCCAACCTGCAGCGACGCCATCCCGAAGTCCGCGATCCGGATGTTATTCTTCTCGTCCAGCAGAAGGTTTTCTGGTTTCAGATCCCTGTGGCTGGGAAGGAAGGCGGGATTGAGGCTGACAGAGATGGGAGCTGCCGCCCCTCCCAAAACCCCGCCCTCACAACATGAGGCCAATGGCAGCGCTGCCTGGTGATGTCACCAGCAGCCAATCGGAAGTCTCCTACGGGGCAGACGGCCTCAAGGTGGCAGGACGGAAGGACAGGGACTCTGCCAGCAAGGGGCAAGCTCTGCTTTGCTCCCTGGGGTCGCGTTCCCCTTCGCTGCTCCCCCCACCACACCTACTCTGGGCCGAGGCCAACCTGGGACCCCCAGACCGAGGGTACCCTGACCCCAGGACCCCTGAAAACACCAAGGAGACTTGGGTGGGCACCTGGCAGAAAGCTTTCTGATGCCCCTGGGCTGGAGGGCCAGTAGAGGATATACTGCCTGCGACAGGGCACCTGGAGGGGCGGGGGACGCACCATATGGAGTGACTGTGGCAGAAGTCTAGCGCAGAGATGATCTGCCGGAAGAACTTTCTAGCCTCTTTGGGGGTCAGCCTCCCCTTCTTGACAAGGTAGTCGAAGAGCTCCCCACCAGACACGTGTTCTAGCACCAGGTATCTGCGGGGGACGGGTGGGCGTCGGGTGGGCACACCCAGCCAGGGCACCGCTGCCCAGAGGCGGTGGACCACCACCCCATCCCGGCGCCATCCTCCACCACATCCCGGCACTGGGCACCCTCAGAGGGTGGGGTCCCCGCCCACCTCCAGGGAAGCAGGTCCAGAGGAGCAGGGCCACATTGGGCCCCAAGGCGAGAGGGGCACTGCAGTTGCTGACCTTCTTGTGAGCCTGAGGCTTGGCCCTTCCAGGCCCTCACTGGCCACCCTGGGCTGGGCTCCCAGAGGAGCGGGGAGACACATCAGACACTCAGGCCCTCAGAGAGCCCTGGCCAGCAGGGCAGACCTCAAAAAGGCATGCGTGGGGGACAGGGCACAGCTGGTCTCGGAAGATAGTGGGGCGGGGGTGGGTGTGGCCAGAAGGCAGGTGGTGAACGCCCCCAGCTTTTGGCTCAACACAGCTGGGCTGATGCCGAACGGTAGGGGTGAGCTGCTGGAGGCGTGGGCTTCCCATGGCGCTCCGGGCTCCATGGGGACCCCACGCCCCTCTGCGGTGAGCAGTGGGCTGTGTCCAAGCTGAGCCTCCCTGGGGTGGAATCTGAGGGGCTGGTTTCTAGGGTGGGGCAGGGGGGTGGTCCAAGACACGTGGACACGGATGCCTGCGGGCCTCAGGGGAGCTGGGCCTGGAAGGCTGAGCACAAGCCCCGAGGAGCCCCTGGTGGGAACCAGGGAGGGGTGGTTCTGGTGGGCTGCGGTGGCTTGGGGAGGGGAAGTGGGTGACAGGGGACGTGCGGGACCAGGGCTGGCGAGGATGAGGGTGTGGGCCTCGGGGGGGCTGTATCAGGAGCTGGTC